ATTGATATGGCATGGGTATTAATTACTGAACATTTTATCTAGGGCAAAGCTTTCACGGTCCTAAACTCTGTTTGTTCAGACTGTTCAGCTGCTGACAGAGGCATTGCTAATGCTAAGTGAATCTTGGAGGGAATTTGGAAGGTGGAGAGTTAAAGAAAGAGCAGCAATGCAGTGTGGTTGCTTTGTGTTTCAACTTGTCTTCCACGCTATCTTGTTAGACTCCTTAATAATTAATCATCTCTCCCCATCCTGCCTCTCTCTCCATCATGCATGCATGCTCATTCATTAGAGGTGTTTGTTAAAGCAAGCATCACTATTACTAGTGCTCATTTGGTGTATAGGATTAGCATTTAAACAAACCATAACATTTAACATTTCTAAACAAAGTTTAACTATAATTCAGTGTTTCCCAAAAGCATAGTTCCAACAACAACAAAAAAAAGGTCAACCTGTGGTAAGAAGCAGAGTTTTTAATTAGTTTGACATGTGGAGTTTCATGCAGATTTCATTTGACTTCTTTTAGTTTGTCAAGAGAAAGTACAGTTTCTGAAGATTGGCCTCTGTAAATAAAGCAAAACAAAAGAGAACAAAAACTGTGACATAGTCTTCCCTTAAAATATTAATTATTTACAGCAATAATCTGACACTAATTACACTAAAACCTGACAAAAATCTCTAAATGGATTGATAAGCAGAAGTTATTATTCCACCAATTGCGTGACACTATTAACAACAGCTCTATATTGTTGAACCAATGTGGTTTGAACAGATGTGCAACAAAGCTACTAAGGTTTTGTGAAAGTCTTGACTAGCGAGCAACACCTACATTAGTGGCAACAAATGAACAACCACTCAGAGCAACCTCATAGCAACACCCTAGAAACTATCGCAATATCTATAGAAACATTGGTGTAAAAAGTCAGTCAAATTAATTTTTAGAACAGATGTGCAACAAAGCTACTAAGGTTTTGTGAAAGTCTTGACTAGCGAGCAACACCTACATTAGTGGCAACAAATGAACAACCACTCAGAGCAACCTCATAGCAACACCCTAGAAACTATCGCGATATCTATAGAAACATTGGTGTAAAAAGTCAGTCAAATTAATTTTTACTTTATTTCGTTTTCTTTTTTACCCAATAAACATTAGGATACTGATAAACACAGGGCACAAGACTCAAGCTTTCTCTGTCTACTTTGAAGCTCCCTATGAAATAACAAGAGAGAAAATACTGTCAAGTTCAACAGTATGATGAATAAATATTAACATCAAAACTGATACTTTAACCTGTTAACTTGCATACCCATTTTTTAAGCTCTTTAGATCATTGTGCCGACGCCAATGAAGTCATGCAGTAAGCGCGCTGCTAATTCAGTTTTATGTGTGCCTTGAACGGCTGCAGATGAATAAGTGCATGGCACTGCGACCAACTTAACATTTTACAGAGTTGAATGTAGCAATGTGGACACTCAGTTTTTCTAGATCAGTTTTAATTGTGTAATAGATTTGAACAAAGAAATAAAGTGCTACACACAGGCCGTATTGACCATGACATGATTGCAAATACAAATACAAAAAAGACAAGTAAGTTAAAGAAAACGCGGTACTTATTAAAATAATCACCCTTTATTTAAATATATGAACACAGGAAACTGCTGTTAACAGGTTAAATATAACATTTCCCATTCCATGTCTTGAACATGGTTCTTCTCGGAGTAGCTGCATGCGCTGCATCTTCTTCTTGTTTGACAGGTGTCAGTGTTAAAGCACAATACTGCCACCTGGGAGGTAAACCAGGTACTGGCGCTGGAGTATTTACGTGTCGTGTTATCATGAGTGTCCTGTTCATTTGAAATATTGTGTTTATCGCCAATAACGGTATATCGTCACACCCTAAATTAACACAATGTCGATATTTCATGCTTTGAATATCACGATTATCATCAATACCGGTATATTGCGACACCCCTAGTGGCAACACACCAACAATCACACAGAACACCTTAACAACGGCATAGCAACACCCTTGAAACCTCAAACAACACCCTACATTAGTGGCAACACACCAACAATCACTCAGAACACCTTAGCAATCATATAGGAACACCCTAGAAACCAAAAACAACAGCCTACAATAGTGGTATCACACCAACAATCACTCAGAACACCTTAGCAATCATATAGGAACACCCTAGAAACCAAAAACAACAGCCTACAATAGTGGTATCACACCAACAATCACTCAGAACACCTTAGCAATCATATAGGAACACCCTAGAAACCAAAAACAACAGCCTACAATAGTGGTATCACACCAACAATCACTCAGAACACCTTAGCAATCATATAGGAACACCCTAGAAACCAAAAACAACAGCCTACAATAGTGGTATCACACCAACAATCACTCAGAACACCTTAGCAATCATATAGGAACACCCTAGAAACCAAAAACAACAGCCTACAATAGTGGTATCACACCAACAATCACTCAGAACACCTTAGCATCCGCATAGCAACACCCTTGAAACCTCAAACAACACCCTACATTAGTGGCAACACACCAACAATCACTCAGATCAGCTTAACAACAGCATAGCAACACCCTAGAAACCAAAAACAACAGCCTACAATAGTGGTAACACACCAACAATCACTCAGAACACCTTAGCATCCGCATAGCAACACCATAGAAACCACAATCAACACCCTACAATAGTAGCAACACACCAACAATCACACAGAACACCTTAGCAACCGCATAGCAACACCCTATAAACCACAATCAACACCCTACAATAGTGGCAACACACCAACAATCACTCAGAACACCTTAGCAATCATATAGGAACACCCTAGAAACTATAAACAACACCGTAAAATAGTGGCAACAAAGTAACCGCTCAGAATACCTTAGCATTTTAGCAACACCCCAATAATCAATCTAAACACCATAATAATCATGTATCAACACCCTAGAAACCACAAATAATACCCTACAATAGTGACAACACACCAAAAACCACTCAGAGCACCTTAGTAACCGCATAGCAACACCCTAGAAGCCACAAATAATACCCTACAATAGTAACAACACACCAAAATTCACTCAGAGCACCTTAGTAATCGCATAGCAACACCCTAGAAGCCACAAATAACTCCCTACAATAGTGGCAACACACCAACAATTACTCAGAACACCTTAGCAACCACATAGCAACACCCTAAAAACCTCAAACAACACCCTACAATAGTGGCAACTGGCAACACACCAACAATCACTCAATACACCTTAGCAACCGCATAGCAACATCCTAGGAACCTCAAACAACACACCAACAATCACTCACAACACCTTAGCAACCACATAGCAACATCCTAGAAACCACAAACAACACCCTACAATAGTGGCTACAAACCAACAATCACTCAGTACACCTTGGCAATCGCATAGGAACACCCTAGCAACTATAAACCACACTGTAAAATAGTGGCAACAAAGTAACAGCTCAGAATACCTCAACAATCATATAGCAACAACCTAGAAACCACAAACAACACCCTACAATAGTGGCAACAAACTAACAATCATATAGCACCACACCAACTATCACAGGTCACTATTGTAGGGTTTTATATGTGGTTTCTATGGTGTTGCTGTTTGGTTGTTACGGTATTCTGAGTGGATGTTGGTGTATTGTTACAATTATAGGGTGTTATTTGTGGTTTCTAGGGTGTTGTTATTGGTTGCTAAGGTGTTTATTACACTAAGGTGTTCTGAGTGGTGCTATGTGATTGCTAAGGTGTTTAGATTGTTAGATATAACACCTTAGAATTGTGGCAACAAACTAATAACTAATACAGTTGTATAATGTAGTTCTTTCTATTCAAAAATCTAGTTTTTTTCTATCATTGTAAGAGAAGAGACAAGCAATGATATGAGAAATCTCTTCTTAATTCTGTCCACTGTAGAGCTTGATCTACATTCCACATGTGCAGAAAGAGACAAACTTGTTTTGAATTCATTAACTGCAGCTTTAAGAAAGATGATGTTGATATTTTTCTTCATATACTGCAAGAGCAGAATGTCCAGCAGCCTCTCTGTGGTGGTATTGAGACCTCGCTCTCAGTGAGATTTGTTTCACACATCAGGAGTGTGCTATAGCACCCTGCGTCACATGTAATAACAGCAAGGTCAAAACGCTGATGGTCATCAGAGCTGCTCAGTGGAGCAGAGACACTGTCCTGTATCAGACCATAAAGCCATCATCACTCACTGAACGCCAGTGTGCAGCATCATGGCTGTCCACCACTGCACGACCTTAACATACATTAAAACTGATGTAACGTTTTAAAGATTTCATTCAATTTAATGTTTGAATTTTTTTAATTAAGATTCAATGACTATTTATTAAAAAATATGTATTTTATTTTACATATTATCCTATGAAAAACCAGTCTGTAATGATATTGAATTAAGTTTTACAAACAAGAACACAAATAAGACAAATGGAACACAAAACATTCTTACTTCATTTTGAGTCAAAATAGAGACTTGTGGTTCAGTGAGAGAGTCAGATGTGGATTCGGTAACAGCTCAGATGGATTAATTGAGTTCATTCAGTGAATGATTTGTCAGATTGATTCAAATTGATAACTTGTGAGTCTGTAAGTCTTTTTGTGCTGTTAAATTAAATAACATATTCATAAGACATTTCTTCATCGATCAGATTGCACTGGTTACACTTTATGGTTGTTTTGAGTGTCGTGAGTGAATACAGCACAATACAAATGTAATAAATTAGCCAATATTAAAAAGATATTGACTTTTGTCCTATTTTGTCCCTTATGCTATTGCATTTTGTCCTTGTTGTAAATTGATGAAATTATACAGACAACAATTTTATCCCAAATCTCTGATGTAATGACCTGTCTGCAATTGATTCAGATTTGATTATGGCTTTGATTTGTATTCATTTGATTTTTCTTTCCTCTCCAGAGAGACACTAAAGGGCAGTTTCTCTTGGATCATGTGTGTAATCACTACAGCCTGCTGGAGAAGGATTACTTTGGCATCAGATATGTGGACCCAGAGAAACAAAGGGTAACTACACATTCACAACTCTTTGGCTTCAATATTCAGTAAGCAACTACTGACATATAAGTTTAGGTAACTTCAACAGATACACCATTTAAGCATTTAAACCTTACTTAAAATTAACATCTTTGCATTAGATAAGACAATATCGCATCACCATCTGAAAATAAACTCCCGCAGAAGTTTTTACATTAATTAATAACTGCACAAGTAAACTTACTGTAAATACATAATTTGTGAATAATTTAAAATCCTGTCTCTTGAGTAGCAAATACACTACTGTGCAAAGTGTGGGGTATACAGTAAAAACAGTAATATTGTGAAATATCGTTGCAATTTAAAACAGCTGTTTTCTGTTTGAATATATTTTACAAATGTCATTTATTCATGTGATTTATTCAAAGCTGAATTTTCTGCATCATTACTCCAGTCTCATGATCCATCAAAAATCATTTTAATATGCTGATTTGCTGCTCAGGAAACATTTCTGCTTGTAGAAACTGTGATTTCAGGATTTTGTTGATGAATAGAGAATTCAAAGTACAGAATTGATTTGAAATAGAACCCAGACATTTGAACCTTAATGTAAACTACAGTACAAAATCTAACAAATCTTAAACATGCTTGTTTCTACACTGTCACCAGGGTATATATATTTCATTCTTAAGTATCACACTGGCTTTAAATTCAGAACAAAGTTACCATGACAACCGACCAAGGGGTTTTACCTTACTGTATGTACGACAATGTTTCTTCAGTCGAGCAGAAAACCTCCCAGCAGCACTGCAGTGAATTATTTACAGTCATTTATGTTGTAATATTAATGTCCGTTATAGAAAAAAGTGAGTGGGAATGTTGTTTACGATCATTTCCCGAGCAGGATGATTGTCCAAAGTGCTTACCATAAAAATGTTGATTTGTCACCATCTTTAGCTGTCAGTGCACAGCAGTCAATAATATCTGTCTCTTGTCGTTGTTTTACAGCATTGGTTGGATCCGAGCAAACCAGTCGTGAAACAGATGAAATGTAAGTTATTTATTTGGTTTTTGCCCTCAGTGTGGCAGATTCAGTGGTATCAGTAGACATTGTGAACATAGTGTCACTGTTTTCTTTTGCACTGTAGCACAAATTCAAACATATCGTACTTTAAGTTTTTGGCTTTTCCTCCATGAAGCTCACAGATATGGTAGAGAATATGCAATGGGAACTGGAAATGTTGCACCACAGCTCAAAAGTTTAGGAGATCATGATCTAACCACTACACCACAGCTAATAACATAGTCTTTCGGTAAAGGAGAGAGTCATATCTAGAAACAAAAATACAAAGTTCTGTCATGAAACTCTACATGGCGCATTAGAAACCCTTCACCTTCCCCAGCTCCACCTGTAGATCTGATGTCGCAGGCAAAATTCAGTCATTTCAACAGTGTTAATTTTTTTTGTGATGAACTAAGCTAAATAAAGCAAAAATTATTATGACAATATTGATGTTTTTGTCAACAAATTAAAACAAGATAAAAATGGGAGGGACGATTTATGAAGAGATCAAATCAAAACTAAAATCCTGTGTGGTAGGAAGGTTAGATGTGCACATTTGAATTGTAGCATACTGGGGATGTAAGCAGTGGCATAGCGCAAATCCGCAGGGCCCGAGATTTATGTGAACAAGTGTGCAAGACTTATGCCGGTGAACGTCTTCCACCATGAAAGTGAAAGTAAAAACTGACAACGCTTTCTGCGTCTGACGATGCACGCATTAACGGCACATATTCTCTCAGAGACGATGAGAGACGAATCTCCTACTTAATATGCGGTATATTACTGCGTTAATTTATTTCCTTAATGTTTCTCTTATGACCCGAACATAGTGAAAACAATGAGAAGAAACGTATGAACAGGTTGTTTTTGAATGTCGGTGCTTAAAATAAAGCTGCTCTTAAGTTTCATTGATGACTGAAGTGTTAACAGGTTTATTTAGGCTATAGGCCTATAACTCATTGTAGGCTATAATAGACCTGTTTTAAAATACATTTTTAAAAGGAGTAGCCTAAGCTAATGGCATAATCTTTATTTTTGTCAGTTATGCGGTGATGCGCTATCAAATTATTGTGGAGGAAATTAATTGTAATATTAATTTTATAATAAAAGTAACCTAATAATAATAGCCAGAATGTAACAGACCTACATTAATTTTATTTAGGCTATAGGCCTATAACTCATTGTAGGCTATAATAGACCTGTTTTAAAATACATTTTTAAAAGGAGTAGCCTAAGCTAATGGCATAATCTTTATTTTTGTCAGTTATGCGGTGATGCGCTATCAAATTATTGTGGAGGAAATTAATCGTAATATTAATTTTATAATAAAAGTAACCTAATAATAATAGCCAGAATGTAACAGGCCTACATTAACTGGAAATGCCAACTTAATAATGACAATAATTAATGCTTTTGACAATGTCTCTGGCTGGCTATAGAACATTCTACAAAATTGTAACACAAGAATAAAACATATGTTACCATCTCTGGAAACAACCACAAGTAGTGCAGATCATCACTTAAATGGCCATGTGACTGACAAAGGACCTTCATATTCTACAGGGCACACAAAATCCAACTCTTAACAAGAAATGTGTTTGGCAAAATGGCCAAACAATTATAAAGAACAGCAAGTTTGTTGTGCTTGTTTGTGCTTCATTCAGTGCTATTTACAAGAGTCAATGTATGTATTGCCTATGAAAATGTCACAGAAATATCGTGGTGACGTCAATGAAATCAATCTTTCCCTCCAAGCTCTAAACTTCTCAGATTCATTACGTTTATCTTTGAAGACTTCATTTCATTCTTCACCAGAGGGGCTTCCCTCATCTCATGGATTAATATAATCATTTTAGCTCCCCTCATGCCCTCGGTTACAGTTCTCTGCATAATCTCTCTCACATTTACTGGCTTACCCTCAAGTGAGTCTCTCTCTGCCCTCGTCTGATTGTTTTCAGGTCAGCAGCCGTACACTATGTGCTTCAGGGTGAAGTTCTACCCTCAGGAGCCAATCAAGATCAAGGAAGAGCTGACAAGGTAACAGGACTGTGATCTAATGTTCAAATGGCATTAGAATAACATTAAAACAACCTGGGCCAGTCACAGCATAAACAGCTCGGAATCTCTCAAGTCAAGTATACAAGACAGAGGATCCTCTGGAAGAGATTTGCATTTTTAAAACGATTGTTCCAGTTTCATTTGGAAAGAGCATGTTTACTTTGCAGCTGAAGCCAGAACGGCTGATCTGCGGCTGCTTTCATGTTAAAGTAAGCAGTGGGATCTCATTATAGTCAATCTCATGAAACCTGTCAAGTACATGGCTGGGTCATACTTCACTCCAAAAACCAGAAGAAGAAAAAAAAAAAAAAAAATATATATATATATATATATATATATATATATATTGTGCAAAGTAAAAGAGAAACTAATTTTTTTAACTTTTTGTACATTATTTTCAGAATAATTAAGCACATTTTCCAAAATCTCATTGCATTCGCCTCGCTCTATTCAGCGACGAGGCCTGAAATATGTAGGTGGGTGGATCTTTGTGAAATAGGTGGATCATTATTCTGTATATATATCAATGTGGGTTTTTGAATGAACAATCCTAGTTAGAGATACAACATTACATTTGAGAGGATACATTTATACTCAAAATAAAAAAAGTAAAAAAACACTCCCTGATTTAGCTCAAAAAGACATGCTTTAGGGACTCGTATTGCTGAATCTTTCTGGAATCTGTTTATTTACAATGAACTGTCAGAACAAATCAATTCACAATAAATCAGGCTTTCCAAAGCTTCGTATGAGAAAGTCTGTTTAGGATGACTTTTCAAAGTGACATATGAGAAACAGCAGCATTTAGGATGAAACTGTTTATTAGAATGAATCAGACGATTCATTACAATGAATCAATCTTTCCCGTGCTTCATATGAGAGAGAGCGCGGTGTTTTAGGATGAAACGATTCATTAGAATAAATCGAAATTTCCAGTGCAACATATGAGAGATATCTATTCAATATTTTGTGGGGAAAATGTCTAGATGACCATTTTGCAATGAAGATAACCATGAAAAATTAAACAGCTTATAATGAGGTTTCACATATTTGGCATCATTATTTTTTAATTTTTAAAAAAATATTATGTTAGAGCCAATAGCCTTGTGGTCCTTCTGGATCCTGTCCTCCTCACTTTCTTTAATAAAAGCAAAAATGCAAAAAAAAAAAATTATATTATTATGTTTTAATATATGTATTATTTAAGTTTTAAAATCATTAAACTATAAATATACTACATAGAGGCCAAACTGTAAACCACACCAAAATATCAGTTAATTTGACAATGACAAGGTTAGTTTGAGTTCATAATATTGTTTGTAAACTTAATAATACTTAAAAAAAATACTATCATTCCCACGTGATTACAAAAATTTCAAAAACTTTTTAATTAGGCATAAACTTTTTTGTTTTTAACTAGATTTTTAAAAGATTTTTCTTTTCATCATTTTGGACATCCTTATTTTTCCAAAAATGAATATGAAACATGTTTACTCCTCAGTTATATGTTAATAGGATTTTTTTCCCCTCAAAAGGAAGCAAAAATATTCTGAACTGAACTGAGACTGTCGGTGTCAGTGTGTGTCACATATTCCTCTAACATTATCAGAGAGCAACGGTCCAAAAACGAGCTTTGATTCCATCTCAAACACACACATGCATGCACAGACATCTGCATAGATACACAAACACACACATACACACTCACAGATTGTTAGTGTGACTAACTCATTAGTGCTGCTCTCACAACATGATGCTCAGTGCATGTGCACCATCTGAACTGTGAAGATAAATGTATTTGTCTTTCTGGATCTTCCACGCTTTCTCTGCACGCTGGAAAACCAGGATGAAGCTTGAAAGAGTGCAAAGGCGTATGTGTGTGAGAGTGTATCGGGGAGCCCAGGTTATTTGAGTTAAATGGGAACATCATGTGAAACAGGAAGGAAGGGATTGAGATGCAAGAGATGCATTAATGTGAACGTTCAAGCTATTTTCTCCTCCGCACCAGTTTTTTTTTCTGTTAAAGCTCAGTTTGACATAGAAAACAGCTACTGTATAGTTCTTTCCTACCTCTCTTTCTCTGTTTAATATTTAATATAAAGAATAGATTTGAGTGCAGTGGGTTAGAAAGAGCGAGAATGGAGAAAACAGAAATGTGCAAGTGCACAAAAATGTTTGGCCAATGCATTGCAATCCTTTTGTGCAAACCCCATAAGTCAACATGAAATCAAATAATTCAATTAATCTTATTGTGAACTATTTGGGAGTGCACGTTATTCCAATTGTTTTTATATTTTTTCATCAAATGTGATAACTTGCTTCACCTCTTGAAATGTCCCGCAAACCATCCTATAATATATTTTTCCTTGAATATCCTGTTTCACTTGAAAGTATGTCACATAACTCTTATGAAAAAGAAATGTACTTAATCGTATTAAATGTGCACTAGTAGTGTACTTCAGGTGCACTTTAAAACATTTTAACTGTACTTTTTAGATAACAAAATAAATTAAATAAATAATATAGAGCTCCTCCATACCTGGAACACAACCGAATGCACTTTTTCTGTACTTTGTAAAAAATTAAATAAAGATTCTCATAGGGATTATGTTCTTTTTTGAAGTACATGTGTTTATTCTGTCTGAAATGCCATTGTCAGTTCAGACTTACCTCTGTGAGGTGTATCATGTTGTATCTACATTTATTTTAGGCCTTACAAAAGTAAAGTTTCTGAAAGGCAACAGTAGTGCTGAGTGCTCAGGTCCTATAATGTTAGTGTACTGAAATAGGGTCTGGTTTGCCAGTGTGCACATGCAGATTGTCTAGACATTTCTGCTCTGGAAATCAGGAGATCCTGCCAGAACAGAAGGGTATCTACTTTTTTATTAAATACCAGCCAATTGCGATACTAGAAACTCATTAAAGCTCTCAAACTTTGAGACAAAGCATCCTGTTCAGTAAACTGTTGTTTTGTAGGCCTTACAAAAGTAAAGTTTCTGAAAGGCAACAGTAGTGCTGAGTGCTCAGGTCCTATAATGTTAGTGTACTGAAATAGGGTCTGGTTTGCCAGTGTGCACATGCAGATTGTCTAGACATTTCTGCTCTGGAAATCAGGAGATCCTGCCAGAACAGAAGGGTATCTACTTTTTTATTAAATACCGGCCAATTGCGATACTAGAAACTCATTAAAGCTCTCAAACTTTGAGACAAAGCATCCTGTTCAGTAAACTGTTGTTTTTAATGCTCCTCATGGGAGTTTGGGGTGCACTGGAGTATTACATGTGCGCTAGTAGTGTACTTCAAATGTACTTTACATGTTTTAACTGTACTTTTAGATAATATAAATTTAATATAATGCCACATACTGTAAATGTACTTAAAGAGAGACACTTTCATGACTGTCTCTTAACACATTTAAGTACACTTTTAAAAAGTGCACTTTGTAAAACTTTGGTCAAATTAAAAGTTTTCCTTTAAAGTACATTTTAAATTAAGTTTGAATAATCTTTTGTAAGAAATACAGTCAGAACTATATATAAAGAACGTCTCAGTTATGTATGTAACCCTCGCTCCCTGAAGGAGGGAACGGAGACATCACGTCAGTGACCGTATTACATGTGCGCTAGTAGTGTACTTCAAATGTACTTTACATGTTTTAACTGTACTTTTAGATAATATAAATTTAATATAATGCCACATACTGTAAATGTACTTAAAGAGAGACACTTTCATGACTGTCTCTTAACACATTTAAGTACACTTTTAAAAAGTGCACTTTGTAAAACTTTGGTCAAATTAAAAGTTTTCCTTTAAAGTACATTTTAAATTAAGTTTGAATAATCTTTTGTAAGAAATACAATCAGAACTATATATAAAGAACGTCTCAGTTATGTATGTAACCCTCGCTCCCTGAAGGAGGGAACGGAGACATCACACGCTCTTTGAAGAGGGCCCAGCGCGTTCCTTTGGCGGCTCAACTGGCGGCTCAAAGCGCTAGAGGAGTGATTGTCCCCTGAGGGTTGGTTCCCTGAGGGGTTTGCCACCACTGTAACCCTCTACTGCCCGAAGTAGTCCACACCTGGATGCCGCCAGGACGAACACTAGATCGCAGCAGAGGCAACGGACTATATATAAAGAACGTCTCAGTTATGTATGTAACCCTCGCTCCCTGAAGGAGGGAACGGAGACATCACGTCAGTGACCGACAAATTGGGATCTCGCTTAGAGAGACCAATCCACTTTGAGTGTAAACTAAATGAGCCAATGCACAATGGCATGCGATGATTGCATCCAGCTGCCGCTGATCACAGCGTGAGCATAAAAAGGCAGCCAGTGCAACGCATACAAGTTTTTCGCTGAGGAGCCGAGGCTGGGGCTCTGCGGCCGGCGGACGTGGAGGCAGCAGCTGCCCGCCGGGGCAGGGTATGACTAACCGCCTTAAAGCTCTCAAACTTTGAGACAAAGCATCCTGTTCAGTAAACTGTTGTTTTTAATGCTCCTCATGGGAGTTTGGGGTGCACTGGAGTATTACATGTGCGCTAGTAGTGTACTTCAAATGTACTTTACATGTTTTAACTGTACTTTTAGATAATATAAATTTAATATAATGCCACATACTGTAAATGTACTTAAAGAGAGACACTTTCATGACTGTCTCTTAACACATTTAAGTACACTTTTAAAAAGTGCACTTTGTAAAACTTTGGTCAAATTAAAAGTTTTCCTTTAAAGTACATTTTAAATTAAGTTTGAATAATCTTTTGTAAGAAATACAATCAGAACTATATATAAAGAACGTCTCAGTTATGTATGTAACCCTCGCTCCCTGAAGGAGGGAACGGAGACATCACATCAGTGACCGACAAATTGGGATCTCGCTTAGAGAGACCAATCCACTTTGAGTGTAAACTAAATGAGCCAATGCACAATGGCATGCGATGATTGCATCCAGCTGCCGCTGATCACAGCGTGAGCATAAAAAGGCAGCCGGTGCAACGCATACAAGTTTTTCGCTGAGGAGCCGAGCCGGCATTATTCATATCGGCTGGAGGGGCCGGCTCTATCACATCCTTCGCCAGTAGGACTACGATCTCCGCACGCAAGACAGGAGCATCGGCTGCCTGCACTGTCGTGAAGTGGATGCCACTGAACTTGGGGGGATGCCAGGCGAACTGAATCGCATTGCCGAGGCTGATGGTCCGCAGAAGCCAACGAGAAGGGTTGGGTAACGCTAGCCAGGCACCCAGATACCTTGCAAGCGGGACCAGCAGAACCATCACCGTACCCGCAATTGAGGCTGCTGCGGATGCGGCGCGGGAGCAGGGGCGGACGCAGGGGGCCACCCTCGGCGACGAGCAGGCTGGGGCTCTGCGGCCGGCGGACGTGGAGGCAGCAGCTGCCCGCCGGGGCAGGG